ACTCTCTACGAAGGTAAGACTTTATTTCTTTGATTATTTCACACAACTTTACATTTACGGAGCTCAAAAGCAAGTCCAACTAAAAGTCCAACTAAACCACTATACAAACTCTTTAATTATTCACTGTGAAAGAGCCTGTGACAGAGCTTGGAACACCTGTGATATGGTCAACCTCTTTTCGTTTGGTTGTCACGTGACTGACCGAGCTTACGTAAGTACGTGCCTTCAGATTGCACAGGTTGGGTAGGGTAGGGGAGACTATCAAAACGAAGGGATTGGTGTCTCAGGTGAGTCTTGGGAAATGCACATCTTTTATGTTATCATTAATATTACGAACTTGGGAGCTCCGTTTTTAGGCTTGGCTAAATCTATATATTACTGAATATAAAGGAGGAGTGTCAGTGTTTGTGGTATGAGACGCTTGCTCTTGCAATTGTGGCCCTGGACTTTAGTCCGCCTGCACGCAATCCTCACTGAACATTTCAAGACAGCGGAGGGCAGTTCACGCGGCAAATACACAATCAATAATCGGCGCTGATGCATGGTATGTACAAATTTATAAACAATACTCAGATCAAAGTGTAAATATGGCAAACGTATTCATTTTACGTTTTGTAGTCCATCCTCGGCCGCTTCGAACTGGACGATGTTGCATTTTGGCTCGTTTTGTTTCGAAAATAACCGCTAAAAATTTAAATCTCAGGTAACCTGAGCAGCAGAAACGACAAATGTTAATCAGAGTTAACATTTTATTCAGATTGGTAACGATATTTCGCTCCCGAAGCGGTCTGTTATCTTTTCCACTTGCGCATTGTTGATTTTTCACCTCTAATTGCGTGCGTGACTAGGAATGGCGCGTTTTGACCTCTGAGTCACTTTTGTTTGGGGTCCTAAAATTTCGTAGTTTAAGTAGCCCAAAAATTATCAGAGTTGATTGAAGAAGAAACCTTGTTCTTTCTCTGGAGTAACTTGATATAGCCCCATGCCACGTACCAAGGTGCGATTTTACCCTCTCAATTTTGCCATTTTTTTGTCCGCCAGAATAAGTGAAATATTGGAATAAAACCAAAAGTTCCCCAAAAATTTCAATTACAACGGAATCGAACATAGAACACTTCAGACTGTCTGTAAATACGTGTTCTTTTCATTTGGAAAATATTTGGTCACATTTACTGATTTGTTTATCTTCAAGCGACGTTCAAATAATTATTATCTAACCTCGTCAGGCTGACGTAAGAGCCACAAACCGATTTTGCCGACGTTCGCGAAAAATAAAAATGCAATTGACTCAAAGTATTTTTTTCTAGAAATAGTTCATCCAGACCTATATTCTGGCAACGTTTGAGGATTTTCGATTTTTCATATTGCACACCTCCGGGCGATATTTACTGACGGCCGCTGTTAAGATACACTTGCAAGGATGCCAGATGATTGAGAATCTTTTGTAAGAACATATTTAACAATAATGGTGCAAATGGTGAATCACGTCATTATGTGCAATGCATTATTTAATCCTCAAGATCCTTTTCTAAAGTAAGAGATGTGTACTTGGTCATTTCTTGGTAAATTAACGTATAAATCAAACTTGTGTCGTTTATTGTATTTTAGACAATTATACGGTCAAGACGACAAACGAAGAATTTATGACCAAAACACCCTACTTGTCACTTGATGAATGGCGCCAAGCTTTTAAGGGACTGGGCAGAGGACCTTTACGAATGCCACCAAAAGGCGGAAGGTTTAGAATATGCGCCGGGTGAGTCACTCGGTTTATTCTTAGTACAAGTTATTGGTTTGCATAGTGTATGGTTGCAGATAGTATTTGAATTAATTAGAAAAAAGGAAAAAGCTCTTAAAGCGAATTTACTTTTAATTCATAGGTGGTCGAAAGGAATTTGTAAATTGGGAAAAGGTTGTACTTTTGCACACGGCCCACAGGAACTTGAAGCTTGGAATAAACACGTGGATATGATGGAAAAGATAATGGAAAACAAGATCGAGGAGGAAAAAGAAAATGAAAAGAAAAATGAAGGCGATGAAACTACAACGAAAACGATTACTCATTCACTGATAAAAGATGATCGACCAGTTCGCACTTACAAGGTTAGCTCTATTGAAACATATTTCGTTGTGAAACACGCTTTGTAAAGTAAACCCTTTTTATTAAACAACCTCTTAGCAGAAATCTATACATTTCCAATGGCCAACGAGAGCAATAATTTACAATCACCACTCAAAAAATAATCCTAGCACTGGCTAGGCTCTGAGCAGCAGTGACGAAGTCCCGTTTGATTTAAGTTTTGCGTCTGATTTGTTTGATTGTTTTAAGCAATCAAAGAGCAAGGTTATTTAAGTTCTGAAGGATTCCGGCTTCATTTGTCAATCGTGAAATACTCCCGTCGAACTGAATGATACTCAATAAATATGTTTTCTGCAGATTAAGTTCCATAATCCATTCTTATCTCTCAGTTGAAGGATCTCGTCACCAGACTTCCAGGAGTATCAGTTGCGTGTGAGCCAAGTCTTCAAAATGTGTCTTTACAAGTTCCACTGGAAAGTGAAGGAGAAAAAACTTATAACTGGACTGTACGACTATCTTATGAGGTTAGAGATACGACTGTTTGGTCGTTAGGTAAATTTTTAGGGGATTCATTCCTTAGCTGTCTTGAATAATCCTTTGAATATGTTTGAATTTGAGATAAAAATTTAGAAAACTAAAAAGAAAGTAACACGAGCAGGATCAACAAGATGTGACAGGAATGTTTCACAGGTGGAAAAATATCACAGCAAAGAATAGCTCTTAGAGTAATGACGCAAGACTAAGAGTGGTGACATCATCACCTTCATCATTACTGAGATAATAATACCATATAGTTAGTAGATGATAATACTAAACAAAACAAAACAAAAAATACTTTAAATAAGACTATAAAGATGAAATCGCCGTTGGAAATGATAAAGGAGGATCGTTCCCCAAGAAACCCTTAAGAATCTTTGTGGTTTTGCCATGATTGCGAACCAAATTCTTACAATAGAAAACTAAGAAATGTATAGAAACCATTTACGAGAATAAGTTGTGGGATCTTTGGACCTTTGGATGGTAACTCATGACGTACATTTCCTCGGCTGTTCCTTAATCTACTAAAACAAATGTTTTTTTAATTCTTATTTAGTCGAGTGAAACCGGGCATCTGCAAGATATTGCTCTATTGTGGAAGTTTCCTAATTGTTACAGTTTCTCCAGTGTTACCTTCAAGTGCTCCAAAGGCCCAGTTACAGTGGGGAACGCTGTAGAGAAAATCGATGACTGTCATTATCAAGTACCACCATATTTACGTGAGTTCGACAGCGACTGTGAAATGGAAGTAGCCCTCTCATTCTCCACATTCGTGTTTGGAAATTTCAGACAATATGTGGTGTTCGATTTTGGCCAAGAGCGTCACCTTGCCTTGGAGTTTTGTGTCGAAATCGGCAGTCAGGAATTTCTGAAAGAATTCTGCGAGGAGAAGACAAAAATTGCATTGGATGGGCCTTTCTGGGATGACGGTTGCCGTACAATTGTCCCTTTTGAGTCCAAAACCCCGTCAGTGTTCAAGAATGATTATTTGACGGACTGGTACAAGTTACCTGTTGATAGAGTCGATGATGTTGTACCCTGCCCTCTTCTTGACGAATCACAAGGTCTAAGTGAGAAAAATTACAAGGACATCATGCATCAGTTGTTATTTGTAGAGGAGTTTTACATTCGCAAACAAGTTGCCAGGTTAGATTAAAAAAAAAAAAAATCCGCTTTAACACTTTTTGTTTGTAACATAAAACTAATATCTGCTACATTTGTATCTGGATACAAATTAATTACTATCAATTGATTTACTTAAGGATTTCTGTACATACTGCGCGCTGAATGGATTTAAAAGAAGTTCCGATCAAATTTACCGCCATTTGATAAAAATAACGCAGTGTTCTGGGAATGCTATGCTTTTCTTTTACATCAAATAGTCAAATAGTATATTTTCGTTCTCTTATTAACTCAGTTTTTTTTTCACGGGCTTATGATCGCTGGAACAACCAAAGAGAGCTGTTTCACTGAATTTTTTTCAGATTCAATGTACAAGGAGCTAATTTGCGTGCTGCATCACTTATTGTCAAGAAAGACGAAGTTCTGAGCGCCGAAGAAGGTTGGCTGTATGGGTCCTTCCACGTGTTGCGCCCTATAACACCCGACGACGCAGATGGGCGACTCCTGCTCAGGAATCTGTTCGGGAGCGCGGGGTCAGTGTTGATAGCAAAACGCCAATGCTCCCAGTCGATGGTTTATGAAGCTTTAGTGGACTCTGTGGAGGAAAGTCGCGTCATTGTAAAGTTATCTGTACAGTGTTGTGCAGATCTGGGGCTGACAAATAACAGTGACACTATTGTGGACGTTCAGTTTCGGACCAATCGACTTACGCTTTGTGAGATGCACGACAACATCGACAGACTGGGATTATCGCATATCAGAGTAGTGTTTCCCGCCTTTGGCATAGTCGCCTTGGAAAAGAACGTAGGTTGAGACGCTGTTTGATTAAGCCCATTACATATGTAGTTTCACTTTTCAATGGCAGTAAGAAAATATTTATTTTTAGTACATGACAAGGTAGTCCTGAGGTAAACCCGAGCGTTCTAATTGGTTCTTACTTGATCCGTATTCTGCCGTACGGACCGTTTCCACGGAAATGGTCATAAGCAGTGCATTTTTGTTTGCGAATGCCGGAAAATTAAAAAAGAAACAAGTTTGGTCCGACTGCTATGTAATAAGCCAGTAACTAACCTCACTTGCTCGAGCCGTATTGGGTAATACTCACCCTAGATCGTTTTTGTACTTACTTCGCTGCGCTCGGTCTGGAATACCAAGACCTGGGGCCAATATTCCTTAGCCATAACGCTCGGTTAGCACACGGTAACGTTGAAATTTTTATAAATGCAAGTGGGATATGCGATGACAGTATGGTTAGCACTACAATATGCCTCGTTCTTGCTAGGAAAAATAATTTCCCGCAGCGAGAACCTCCTGCTTCTTTAAGAGCTTGTGACAAGGGGTCGAGTGATATATTAAAATTTACACAAATTATGGAAACCAAAAACAAAAAGTGCGCCACAGCTGACTGAACTTTTCTTTTGTGTGCTTTTTTTTTTTCCAGCTTACCATCCTGCCATGGATTCTCGATCCCAGGTTAAACGATGATCAAAAAGAGGTCATAAAGAAAATAGCTTCGCCATCGAGCAAGTCACCTCCGTTGGTGGTGTTTGGTCCATTTGGAACAGGAAAAACATTCACTCTGAATCAAGCTGTTCGACAAATTGCCATAGATTGCAACAACCGTGTACTTATCTGCACCCATTCAAACAGCGCGGCAGACATACACGTAGAGCTTTTGGACGAATACCTCCGTAATAATGGAATGCTGGCTTGCAGACCTCTTAGGATTTACACACCCTTGCGGAAGTTATCAACTGTGTCTGCCACAGTGAAGGAGTACTGCCTCGTAACTGACGGAGCCTTTCGACTCCCAACTCGCAATGACGTGATGTACCACCGGGTCATAATAACAACTTTGGGAATGTCACGAGCTCTGTTTGATATGGACCTCCATCGGGGAATTTTCTCTCACATCTTAATCGATGAAGCGGCGCAAGCGCTAGAGACGGAAACGCTCGCGCCAATCACACTAGCGGGTAATAATACCAAAGTGGTTTTCACCGGGGATCACATGCAGGTTCGTCTAGTTGTCTTAATTTCCAGCCTCTCTATGGCGCGATGGCCTCATGGTTAGTGCGCTCGACTCCGGATCGAGTGGTCCGGGTTCGTGCCCCGGCCGGGACATTGTGTTGTGTCCTTAGGCAAGACACTTTACTCTCACAGTGCCTCTCTTCACCCAGGTGTATAAATAGGTACCGTAAATTTAATGCGGGGGGTAACACTGCGATGGACTGGCATCCCATCCAGGGGGGAGTAGAAATACTCCTAGTCGCTTCATGCTACAGAAACCGGAGTTAAGCACCGGCCTAATGGGCCACGGCTCGTAAACATACTTTACCTTACCCTATGGATGTAGTAGATGATGGAGTAATAGGCACAATGTAATGATGTAATAGACATGGAGCACCTTGGGAGAACAACCATTTGCACAGTTTTATGGCACTTTACTATTTATGTAGGGATAGAATGCCCAATTATCGAAGGAATATTGCGCACTATTTGTGTTAAAAATATAGAGACGTCACACTATTTTCTATTCCCCTCCTCGCTAGATGAGCCCTGACGTATTTTCTCCCCAAGCAAAGAAGTGGGGATTCCAGATGTCCCTACAAGAGAGGCTCTTCTACGACTACGTCAGACGTGGAAAGGAAACAACACAAAATCCTAATGTCATCTATCTAACAACGAACTACCGATCAAACGAGCAAATTCTTCAATTCTCATCCGACATGTTTTACGGCAAGCTTTCTTGTGGTAGCAATCAGCCCCTTCACCCTTACTTAGGTCCACTGGTGTTTTATTCCGCTTTTGGCGAAGAGGAGATGGCGGAGAACCATTCGTCCTACCGTAATTTGGCCGAGGTGAACGAGGTGGTGAAGCGAGTCAAAGAGCTTGTTGACTGCTGGCCTCAGCAATGGGGCTCAACACCGGATCCTAAACAAGTTGCTGTAATTTCATCAGAACGTTATCAGGTAACAAAAAATGGTCGTGGAACTACACTGTACGGTCAAACGCCCTCTATATATCAGACTTGGAGTTCTTTGTCCAGAAATAGCCCTCACAACACACACAACATTCACATCTCGCTTTCCCTGGTTAATAGAAACATCTTACGTTCTGCGGATATTTATTTCTCCAATGTAATTGGGTGATAAATAATTTTTTCTTCTGTAGGTAAAAACAATTCGCGATGGCCTTCGAAAAATTGGTCTTGGCGATGTTGACGTTGAAACCATCGAAAATGTGCAAGGTAAGTAAATTACTTGAAGGAACTTCATTGATATAGATCTTGAAATCAAACTAGTTTTTGCCATACGTTTGACTCCAGGAAGATTATGGTACGTAGATTGTTCTTTTAATAACTCTAAAATGTCTAGCAGACAGGTGAAGGCAAACTGTCAAACAGGACATTTGTGTTGAAAATATCAAATTATCCTTGGTAATTTCAAAGAGATGAAGATTTCGAAAAGTTTAATTCATACTGTCGACAATCATTCTTCAGCCTTAAAGATATCGTGAATTTTTCCTACAGGAAAACAGTTCCGTGCACTTTTTGTCAGTGCAGTGCGAACCAAACACACTTGCAACGAGTTCAAAGGCTGTGCGGATAACGAAATCGCGAGGCCCTACCTGTCATTTCTCTCGGATCCTAAGCTTTTAAACACTGCACTTACCCGTGCCCAATCCTTCATCGCCGTGGTAGGCGATCCTTTTTCACTAAGAACTATTGGAGATTGCCAGGGACTTTGGGAAGAGTTCATCAAGAGATGCAGTGACAGCGGAAACCTCTTTGGAATAGAATGCAGTGAACTTGAAGAAAGTATTTCTCAAATGGGACTTAACGTCAACGCTAGTGAATTTGTCCCACGATTCACCAGCCACACAAGTCCCCAACCTGATAGTGAGACTTCAAACTATCAGATGGCAGCCTTGGAAGATGTGACTTTCGATGCTTCTTATTCAACTCCACAGCTAAACGCACCAGAGCATACAATTTATGATGAAAATTCTTCGCCCAAGGAAATTACGCATGAGAATGTACCCACCCCTGGTATCGGTAAGATTCTAGAAGATTGTGCCGAGGATTGTAAGTATGACCAACTGAAAACATCATCTCAAAACGAAGAAGACGACAGCGAAGTTGAAAGTATTTCAGACTCTGAAGCTATGTACGACAGATCGATTGGGAGTGACGATATTGAAAATGGTGATTTTGTCGAAGGAGGAAATGTGCCAGATGAAACTGTTCCCCCAATGTACATGGATGACATCACCCTTGCCATCGAGGCTAAGTGTGTGGAGAATGAAAAGAAACGAAAATTGAAAGAAGAAAAAATTCAACAGTCGAAAAGAGAACAGTTGAGGTTCTTCGCCTCATCGAAGTACTAACCCACCAAAGATATCGGCAATGAAAGTGTTCATCGTGCTTTTGCATCTAACATGTACAACGCAAGAACCGATCTACGTCTTAAAGACTTCACAGCCGTAACAAGGAAAGGCAAAACCCACATTGTTTTGAGTAATCCGACAATCAAATATAGTGAACGTACAAAAAGGCTCATCAATCAGGTTGGATTTGACGATCATGAGAGTCTTCAGGCTGAGTGTCTTGAACGTTTGCTGAAAGAGGAACCTGAGAAGTACCGCCGATGTAGACTACGCATAAGCTTCGCGAAATCCAGAGTATCCTATGGAGAAATTCAAGATTTGGAGAGTGAAGATATCTTGATTGAGGGAAGAAGCACTCGTCAGAGATTCGATGGAGACATTGTAGCGGTGGAACTTAAGAAGGAGTCCGCGGAAAAATCGTCTGTCGTGTTGGAGAGAATCATTGGAAAAATAAAAGGTAGACTATATTGCCCGATTAATCCTCGCGAACGCCAATTTGTGTGTACGATCTCCAGGGACAACCCTTGGTTAATGCTCCCCATCAATAAATCGATGACACCCATTGCAAACTTAAAAGATAGCTCTTGCAAAGGAATTCCCATTTACAACAGAGTGCAGCCAAGAGAAAGGGAGAGAGCAGTTCGGATAAAAGAGATTTCAAAAAGAGACGCATTCAGTGGAAAATTTCTCTTCGTGGTTCAATATTTGCAGTGGAGAAAAGATTTCCCATACCCACTTGGCATTGCCACCAAGACTATTAGAAAAGGAAGTGATCTTAGCCGCGCTTACCATGTGCTTGAGGCAGAATACCAGTTGAGGAAATCATTTACCGATGAGGTCTCCAGAGAAGCAGCAAGATTCCAAGATGAGTGGCAGGCAGTCCTTGAACGTGAAAAACAGCAACGCCAACCGGTGTTAAACGCATTCACAATTGACCCTCCCGGTAGTAAAGCTCTTGATGACGCCTTGAGTGTTGAAGAGCTCAGTAAGGGTTTGTGCAGAGTAGGAGTACACATTGCTGATGTGTCCTACTTTGTGAGAGAAGGAAGTGGCATCGACCTTGAAGCAAGGAAGAGGGGTACTTCTTACTTCCCTGGTCATAGCCATAGAGATACTTTGATGCTCCCGAGAGAGTTGAGCCACAGTCTTTGTAGTCTACTGCCAAACGAAGAACGCCTTGCTGTGTCTCTTTACTGGGATTTGGACCATAGTGGTCATATTCATGGGGCCGCGGACCTTGATCATGATGGTCGTGTGCATGGGAGAGAGCTTAATTTTACCCGCACAATTGTAAAATCGCGATGTCGCTTGACGTACACCCAGGCACAAGCAATCATTACTGGCCAAGACAGTGTTCCACAAAACCGTGACAGTGATGGAGAAGTGACAACCGAGATCGAAGAAAGCATAGTCATGCTCAGCAGGTTAGCCCAAAACAGAAGAAAGCTGCGTCTTCGTGGCGGCTCTTTCTATCGTTTCGACGATATAAACCGAGCTGAAGACTTCGAGGCTCATGAGCTGGTTGAGGAAATGATGATCCTGGCTAATGAATCTGTAGCCAGATATCTCATTGGTCAAAGGAACGAGGAATCATTACCTTTGAGGATTCAACTCCCCCCTAGGACTCATAGACTGAACGAGTGGCAACAGAAGTTTGGAGATTGTGCCAAGCTTTCACTCTCTCTACGTGAATACTCACATCGAGATCAGCATTGCGTAGAAACCTTCGTTCTACCAAAGTGTACTTGGAATAAAATTAGTTCTGCACGCCAAAACGAGAACGTCAGAAGGCTCACTAATCTAATTTGCAATGATCACATCTATCCGCAACTTGCAATTGCACGTTCATTTTTTAGAGGTCTTCAACGAAGAGCAGAAGATTTAAAAGCGGCTGAAGTTCCATCAGATAATAGAGTTCACTGGTCTTTGAAACTACAGGAATACACTCGATTCACCTCCCCAATTCGTCGTTACCTTGATATCGAAGTTCATCGGTTGTTACTAAGAATGGCAGACCAAAATACTGAGGCTGAAGAGACTTCTGTGCTTTTTCGTCGTTGCTCGTTTCTCTCTGAGAGAGCAAGTAGGTTTGAGAAAGAATGTGGTCGTATTCAATTTGCTGCTAGTCTTAGGGAAGAGGGTTGCGGCGAGACGCCTGCTGTCATTGAAGTCCTCACCCGGGATAGTATCCAGCTACAGCTACTATCTGAAGCGAACAGCTATCTGCCCTCAGGACAAAAGAGAGTTCAGATCAGTCACTTGGGACCAATTAAACAACCAGAGATGGATGAATCATTGCAATGCCTCGAACTTAAGTGGAAACTCAGAATTTATGGTGCTTCCTCTGAGACTATCAAGCAAGCGCTAGAGTGTGAGACTAAAGAGCAGCGTGAGGAACATTTTAGCAAGGAAAGGGCCAAGATTGCGTTAGATGTAAGCTCAGATAATTCAAGTATTTTACATTACTGCATTCCGAGCCACCTTTGGCTGAACGTCTCGAACGCCATCGACAATAACAAAGAAAACTTAGAGAAGTGTCTAGCAGACATTGATGCGGAAATAAAAAAGATAGAAGCTCAGACCAGAGATGTAAACTTTAATTACGAAAACTATGATAATAAGATAGAAAATGATAACCATGTCGACGACGATAATGACCATGGCAAAGATGATGACGACAACGACGACAATGATGAAGATGATGACGACGACGACGACGATGACGAAGATGATGACGATGATGACAGTGATGACGATGACAACGATGATGAAGGTGATGACGATGACGACGAAGAGTATGATGATGATGACGAAAGCGACGAGAACGACGAAGATGACAGTGATGCACATTTTCAGAAAGTGTCCTTAATGTTAAAGGTTTTTGACACTGTCAACATACAACTGGCCGTAGACGACGTCAGAGGTTTGATGTCACCGGAGATTCAGCTTTTGAAGTTAGCACCGGGAATTGATGTTTGCCTTGAGCACAGAAAACGTCCAGACAGATGCTTTGCAGAACTTGCCTCAGATCACTCATCAAAGCCAAAGTACAAGAGTATCGCAAAGTATATTCAAGCTTGGGAACCCGTTCTGGCAATGGAGGCTGCCACACAAGCAATAACGAATGAAGATGTTATCATTCTTCAAAATCTCACAATAAAATGGGAAAAAGCTGGGGGAAAAACTGTCGGCGAGTTTTTGCTTGAAAAGTCGTTCTGTAGAACAAGATGTATCGAAATTTCAGGCGGTGATTATGCCTGTGTAAAGGTTCGCTTCCCAGTGTCAGTGTATGCAGGGAGATCTGATACTTCAAAATCCATTACAGCCACTAAGCTTTGTAAAACTGAGATTGAGGTGGAAGAAGAAGCGTACTCGGACAGTAATGATGACTCGAGCTTTCACACAGCAAGTGAAGGAGAAGATGACAAGGAAGGTTCCACTTCTGATGGCAAAGAAGGGAAAGACTTTGTTTGGGTTGGCCACTGCTCGATCACGAAAGAGAAAGATCATGTGAGGCTTCACCTGAAACAACACTCCTTAAACATTCCCTCAGGACTTCTGGATGGAGAAGGGTGCATCTGTACCCTGGAGATAATAAAGCAAGCTATCAATCACAGGTGACTCTGATAAAGTAGATTAGAATACACCATAAGTATTTTATTGATAAGTCCTCTTGTTAAGATATAAACAAGCCGGTTTTGAACGAGAAAATGTTTTAGAAAACTTGTTGACAATGTAATTTACTAGGGTCGGTGACCCAAAAAAGGATTATTGGGATAAAATTTATGAGGAGGGCAAAGGAAACTCTACTCCAGTACAACTTTCTGGATTAGTGCCTCGGCGCCTTTGTCCGCCAATGTAAAATTTTACTCTGACAAGTTCACGTATCGAGGATTTCTTTGGGTAAATGTCATTTCAATCTTGGAATTCTGCAGTTTCTCTAGGGTTGAAGAAAACCTAAACATAAATCACTAATCAAAACACTTCTGTTGTATTTAAGGCGAATGATGAAAGCTTTAACAAATCTGGAAGGAAAAGTAGAGGATGACTTAGTACACGACATCTGCCTTGGAAAAAAAGGACAGCTGGGTGGTATGTTCAAATAACCAATTTAGGTCGTTTCATTTTCACGAACATAGTCTTGTAAACCCAAAAAGTACGCACAAGTTATACTCTCACTCATTCCATTTACTTTGGGGGTCTGAGGGCTAGCAACGTGTTCACTCAACATTAGTTGGTTGCTCGCGATGACTCGAATTTTTTTCCAGGTCTTGCTCATCTTGTTCTTTTCCTTCTTTAACGTTCCCCCGCCAATTGATCCTCCGACAGCCCCCTTTCCAGTTTTCTTTTATCATGACAGTTGTTTAACTTTAACCTGACTACTATCAGTCAAGCAAATCATCCAATCGGCAGAATTACAAAGTTCGCATTGCACGGTTACCAAGTTGCTCATTGTTGTTTCGGTAACAAGGCTTATCCTTGAGCAAAACATCCAGCTTGGAAGACCGTAAGATTATGCTTTTTCTCTGGCTCTTATCTCTCGCCACTGACATGGGAGCGATCCTAACAGGAACTTAGGAGGTCCGTACAGCATACCCCTGATGCTCGTTGGGACGCAAAAGCCTCTTCACCGCTTATCTACTGAATGATTATTAAGATTTATGATTTACGAGAAAACTTGGGTAAGCCTTTTGCCTTGTACAAGATACATCTGGATCCCCTGGATTAACTAGGTTTAACTCTATGCACAAGCGGATTTCAGAGGAAGAATTGAATGATTAATTGTTAATTAGATTAACTGCATTGAAGAGGTCAGACAAAGTGTGTTGATAACAATAAAATTAGGGAACAGTCGCCAACTTACTACTAGACTTGATCATACGTTTTCATTATCTGAATACAGAAACTTCCACAAAACAACTACCGAGTGAGAACCTGTCCATTGTTGGTCTGCGCAGAGACCAACCTCTGGCTGGTGAAAGAGCTTCAGATCTGAACATGGTCCAGCTTGCGGCTGTTAAAACAGCTTTACGAGGCCGTTTTACTTTGATTCAAGGACCTCCCGGTAAATATTCCCCATTGTACCTATTCAAGATTTGAAGACGCGTAGCTATTGAAAGAAGCAATTACAAAAAGATTAAAAAGTTAGTTGAGAAACCTGGAGATCATTGCCCATAATGTTTTGTTCACACCTTCATCCTCTTCCGTTGTCCGAAGTCCGTGAGATCTTGCAGACCAATGCTTTAGGGGACAAAGGTACCAGTAAGTGTCCAAAAGAAGGAAAATTCGTCAGTGGTGTACTCGTGACTTAAGGGCAGTCAAGGTCTTTGCTGTGGATTGAGAACACATCCTATCCCCTTTAAGTACTTAGTCCAATGTCATTCAGCATTCCTTAAAATATTTCTTATATTTTCTACTGCGTCCAAAAATCCACTTAACGGAGCTTTTCATATATTTCTCTTCATCATCATAATTTTCTCTAGGAACTGGAAAGACCATAACAGGAGTTCATATTGCCTATTGGTTCGGAGTAATAAACGAAGACGACAAAAATACGAATGGTACTGTCCTCTACTGTGGACCCTCAAACAGATCGGTAGATGTTGTGGCAGGTGAGCGGAAAAAAATCATTAGAAGGTAGCAAAGCAGGGGAAGGAGCTATGCATCCCCGACTGTTTGAAGTTTCCATGAGTAATTTTTAAGCCGTGACAGAGCTTGTTGATACTGCCACAATCGAACCAATTTTGCGACGCTATAGCCATGCTTGCCAAGAGACTTTGTACAGAGCTTGTTGATCCTGCTACAATCGAATCAATTTTGGCAAATCGATTGATTCCACTCGATAAGGGTAATGGTGAGGTGCGACCGATCGAAGTCGGAGAGTGTGTAACAAGGGTGACAAAGCAGGATATTATTGAGGCCAACGGCTCACTACAAGTGTGCGCGGGTCTGAAGAGTGGACCTGAGGTAGCCATTCACGCCATGCACGGCATATTTGATGCTGACGATGCAGATGCCGTGTTACTAATTGATGCATCGAACGCTTTGAATTCGTTGAACAGGGCTTCTGCCTTGTATGATGTCGCTGTTCTTTGTCCTAATTTAGTCACATACGCCACCAAATCCCTTTGGGCTCCTGCTCGCCACTTTGTCACGGGCGGTAAAGAACTGAAATCTACAGAGGGTACTACACAGTGTGACCCCTTAACAATGAGCTTTTATGCTATAAGCCTTCAGCCTTTAATCGGCCCATCTCAATCTATTCAGCAACGCAAAGCAATGCTGGTATGCCGATGATGCAAGAGGCGCTGGTTCGCTCGAGGAGCTAAGGAAGTGGCGGGACGGGCTAAATGACATGGGACTTAAACTGGGGCAACCTCGTTCCCAGGGCCTTTTCCCTTAGCTGAGGGAAAAGGCCCTGGGAACGAGGTTGAGCCTGGGGTACTACCCCAATGCTAAGAAATGCTGGTTGGTCACCAAACCAGAAAAGGAGAATGAAGCGATTGAAGAATTCGGTGACACGGCAATAAAAATATCGACTCAAGGCCAAAAACATCTGGGCACCGTGCTAGGCTCTAGAACTTACCTAGAGGAGTACATGAAAGGGAAGGCAGAGGGCTGGGTCGAGCAAGTGGCGAAGCTCGCAGAATTCGCTACAGCTAATCCACAAGCCTCATATGCAGCCTTTAATATTGGATTGAAACATCGTTGGACTTATTATCTCAGAACACTGCCTGACATCGAAGAACTGCTAGAGCCGCTAGAGCGCAATATAGGCAATGTCCTCATACCCGCCATGACAGGCCCACCTGTACACCCGCTGAGTGTGAATTGCTAGTACTTACATACATACATAGGTTAATTGACCACTCCCCATAAGGGCTATTCAGGGCCAACACCCACCCATCGCATCCCAGGGGAGGACATCCACCACACAGTAATCTCGTGCGTGGGAAATTAACGTCTCCTACCCATAACCCTGCAGGAGACGGGACCTCCATTTATTCGTCCCTATCCGAGAAGACTAGAATATCTATCCATTTCTTGTTATAGAAAGGTAGCAAATTCTCCTCAGTTATTTTAAGACTATGAGTATTGGTTCGGCCGGGGCTCGAACCCTCGAGCTCCCGCTCAACACAATCCGGCGCTCTAATCAATTGAGCTATTATTCTACGCGCCGGTGAGGCTAGGGGGACTGGGTCTCACAAACCCATGCCGAAACGCGACTAAGGAGTATGAAGCCTCAATCAGGGTAACACAGCCTCTGGTAAAGCAGATAGAGGCTCAGGCACTCGAGCTCCTGGATGATGATGACATACGGAAAATGCTGCAGTACAACCGAAGGGAGAATGAAAAACATCTTAAGGAAAGGCTAGGGGAAGTAAAGAGCGTACTTCCTGATAACACTAGGAGAGCCGCTGTCCTTACTACAGAAAAGGGCGCGTCTAGCTGGCTAACAGTTATCCCGTTCAACGATGTGAACTTTACCTTAAACAAGAGATCGTTCAGGGATGCCGTTCATCTCTGCTATGACTGGCACATAGCTGACACGCCCTCCACTTGTATTTGATGAGATGCTTTTGATGGTGTGTAGACGAGGAGGATTCATCATCCAGAGGCATAACGAGCTGCGTGATCTTGAGGCCGATTTGCTAAACACTGTTTGCCACGATGTGCAAGTGGAAGCCGTTCTCCAGGAAATAACGGGAGAAGTGCTGACGAGGGCTACGAACCCAGCACCGGATGCCCGATTGGATGTTCACGCTCATGGGTTCTGGGATAGGCAAGGCTCTGCCTTTTTTGACGTAAGGGTTTTTCACCCAAACGCAGAGTCTTACAAAGATCTCACCATCCAGCAGATTTATCGCAAACATGAAGATGAGAAGAAGAGGTTATACGCGAACAGGGCTTTGGAAGTTGAACGAGGGACTTTTACACCTTTAGTCTTCACTACTACCGGAGGCATGCCGGACGAATGCAAGCGTTTCCACATTAGATTAGCGGAACTCATATTTATTAAGAAAGGAGACGAGTGCAGCACAACAATTTCATAGCTACGTTCAAAAGTGTCCTTTGCTCTACTAAGGTCCGCCTACTTTGCCAAAGAGGTTCAAGCACCTCCAGGCGTGACCCTCTGAACATTGAACATTGTGACTTTGAGATCGAAAAAGAACAAGCAGGATTTAGAGAACAGTTTTTGTTTTTTTTTTAAAAAATATTTTTAGATTTTCCAGTATATAAGATGGTTGTTTTTTATTTTCAAAGAAAATTTTCCATGATATTTCCCTTGAGCTAGGTTGAACTCGGAAATATTTAAGGATAGGATTTGGAAGTAACAGATTGGAATCAATAGATCAATTCTATCATTAGAATGAAATAATTATGGGAAATGAGACCTATGACAGATTTTAATTTAATTAAGTTTATACTATATTGTAGGTTTTATCTCTTTTAGTTAAACACTTTATACATTACTTTCTTTTGAAGAGTACTTGATGAAGATCAAAGGCCTTGAATCAAAGATCCTTCGAGTATACGGCAAAGTCATCGAACAAAAAAGATTTCGAATACCGGGCGAGGTAAGATCATCTCGAACGATTGGCAGCAAGGACGAAATGAGAGTACCTAAAAACTTGAGAGACATCGCATTACATAACGTGATCAGGGAGGAGGAAAAATCACCGTTCGCGGAAGAACTGAAAGAGTTTAGAAGGATGTTCGCACCAATTAAGCATAAAAAGCAGAAGAAGCAGAAGAAGCAGAAAAAGCAGAAAAAGCAGATAGTGGATGACGAAGCGGTCGAGAAATATCGTCAGGTTTGAAAAAAAAAATTCAGTTTTGAATGAAAGACACAGGTACCAGAGGTTACCATTTTAGGTCCCATGACTAAAAGATTTTTGATACAGCAAGTGTTTATATAGGAGATGTCATTGATTTTTGACCTATCATTGGTTTTGATAAAGTTTTCCAGCATTTTCTCATTTTTTATAGACTTTCTCCAAAGAAGATATGTAGTTGTTTTGTTGAACTTGGGTACCGGCTTAAAACTGACATTGGAGTTCATTGAAGTGACTAGGCTAATCAGAATAGAAACTGACGTTTGAATTCGACAAAGGAGTGTTTTTGATAGGCAAAGAATTTTTCTGAACTTAGAAACTTGCAAGGGAGGAATAAGTGAAGCGTATTCAATAAAATGAATGTACCTCTTCACTGCTTTAATTATAGCTGATTAAGGAAGCTGAGCAATGGGCAATTAATAAATTCGGACGCATCGTCCTTTGTACCTGTTCTGCGGCTGGAAGCAAAAGGATGGAGCAAGTCTGTAAGAACGTCAAACAGTGCATTGTAGACGAATGTGGAATGTGTCTAGAGCCAGAAACTCTCATTCCAATTGTGAGTTCAGGATCGGTACAGCAAGTCGTTCTGATTGGAGACCATAGGCAGCTTCAACCAATTGTAAAGAATAGAGTGGCGAAGTCTCTTGGGCTGAGTACATCCATGTTTGAGCGATATGCCAATCGGGCTATTATGCTGACGGAGCAGTACAGGATGGTAAGACGTTCATAGTGCTAGTGTCATCAGAGGTAAATCGAGACTTTTCGATCGATAAGGTGCGTCACAGTGATCCGCGAATGCTCGAGGTAAACCCCCTTAGGGAGTGAAAGGAGGAGGGGGGGTAGGGGTGAGGAGGGTTTCCGGACGAGAGGGTCTCGCTGAAAAAACGAACTGAGAGGCTTAATATTTGTCATCATTATCTGTTCTAACTTTTGACAGCTTTTGACAGCTTTTTCAAACACAGTTGAGGTCCACCCAAACACCGAATAAACATCGATCAATATTTTGACATAAGTCATCGTGAAACACGATTTTAATAAAGCTGCTTGCAAACAACTTTTATCTTTTAGCATCCCGATATTTGTGAATTTCCTTCCGAGCAGTTTTACGGCGGGAAATTAGTCACGTCAAAGTGCGTCACAGACAGACCAAGTTGGACCACGTTCGATAGGAACTTTTTAAATTTCTGGCCGTCGCATAAAGGGGACAATTACACACCCCTTGTGTTTTGTCACGTGGTTGGTAAGGAGGAGGAGCTTGTAGTGACAACTGAAGAGGGTAATCAACGATCAAAGAGTAACATGAAGGAGAAGGACAAAGTGGTGAGTTGATTAAGATGCAGACTCATGTTACGTTGAAGGGACCGTCTTCATGGTTTGTGTGTTGTAAACAGTTTGGCCAAGTCATTTACAATCTGTGTCAATCGTCTCCACTATCCCCCTTCCTTTTTTTACTTTATTATAATCTCTATCAGGTTTTATTATTAGCTGAGAAAATAACTATTTCATGATTTCTTGAGCAAACACAGACGCTTTTGGGACTCGAACGATCCCAAAGAGAATGCAGCTACTTCTGTCACGCTTTGACTCCAACCAATCAAATGTAATAGTCTCTCTTTTAGGATTTTAACTTAAAGCTTCATACAAATAATCCAAGAAAAGCGCCAGGGAAAGGAACTCTCAACTTCCGGCTGCTTACCGCGTCTCAAAAACGTCTGTGCTCAGAGGAGCAGTCTTACGAAACCGCCCTATGATTTGAAAACCCGAAAAATTCAGTTATTTCATTATTATATGAATTTTTGGCGATTAATAAAGCCTTTTCAATAATAATTTTAGTTGAAAGTCAATTGTAGGGCGAGAAATTACGATTTTAAAACCGTTCCGCCATTAATTTTCGTAATCACTTCCCAGGCTCAAGAAGACAGGCGCGAGTTTGGAGCGTGACGTAGATTACTCATTTGACGCGCCGTGTTCGTGGCTAATTTTCAAAAACAGTATTTTGATCGTACTANCCGAAGGTTTAGATAACCTAAAAATTTTCGTCGATTATCTTAACAATATCCACCCCACCATCAAATTCACCAGCTCACACTCTTCCACTAATGTGGCTTTCCTTGACGTAAGTGTCTCTTTAACCACCGACGGTAATATCTCCACTGACCTCTACACCAAACCCACAGACAAACATATGTATCTATTGCACTCTTCTTGCCATCCATTACATACCAAAAAAGCCATTCCGTTCAGTCTAGCACTCCGCCTACGACGTATCTGTTCTACAGATAAAGCTTTTGAGACTCGCGCCGCTCAACTTACCTCATACCTTCTCAAACGAGGTTACAGCCATAAATTCGTCACCAAACAAATACAACGCGCCGCTGACATCTCCCGCACACTCACCTTACAAACTAAAGACGTAAAAAAACCTAACCGTATTCCATTTATAACTACTTTTAATCCGTCGCTTCCTCACATCTCCAACATCATCAAAAAACACTGGCATCTACTGCAGTCTTCTAACCGCTGCAAAAAAGCTTTTCCTCAGCTGCCAGTTGTCGCCTTCAGACGCTCCCCCAACCTTCGCGACACATTAGTAACAGCCAAACTCCCCTCTAATTCTACCACTTCCCATCCTCAACTCCCCCCCGGCTCTTTCCGTTGTGGTAGAAACTGCGCTACTTGCCCCTACATCTCTGACGGTCTTACTAACTATACCTTTTTTTCTACCGGCGAAACACGTCCCATTAAATCTCACTTGACCTGTGACACTAAAAACCTTATCTACTTAATTCAGTGTAACCGCTGTAACTTACAATACATAGGAGAAACTAAACGACGTTTAAAAGACCGTTTTAATGAACACCGCCGTACCATTGATAAACCTAACTCTAAATCTAAACCTACTACAGCGGCAGAACACTTCATTTCCTCTCCTAACCACTCTGCTCACGACATGGAGCTAATCGCCATCGAAAAAGTGTTTTCCAAGAGAGACTCGATACGCAAGGCCAGGGAAGCTTTTTTAATTTCAAGAGGCAACACTATTTATCCAGATGGCCTTAACGCTCGCGAAGAAATGTATTAGTTTCTAGTTATTTATCCAATTTACCTTACTTCATTTCTATTTTTGCTCACTATTTCTATTTTTATTGTTATCTCATTGTCAATCAAATTAGTTTTACATATTTCCGCTGTTACATCATACAGCTATCTATGAAGCATCACCCCAATTCTCTGTTAATTCCCACTGCACCTGAAGAAGGCTGGTTTGGCCAGCCGAAATATAGTGCTCCGTCTTAAAATTTACTTATCTACGTTGTATCGGTCTTGCCTCTATATTTATATTTCATATTCGTTATTTTGGGCCGATCAGATCATCGCTGATCCAACGTACAAGAGTAGGAGTATCGTCCACGGTTGCCTGCTGAACATTTCACAGTAATAATAGTACTGGTGATAATAACAATAATGATAATGATGATAACGATAACAACTATGACAATGAAGAGGATAATAATGGTTATAAGTGGATGACTTGTTAACTTACGGTTTAATTTGTCCTATTTTCAGGCAGTGAAAACGAGTTCGTGATCATATCACTTGTCCGATCATTACCAGACTCCCAGATTGAATACGAACCCACCGGAGCATGGCTCCGGGAGAACCTGGGCTTTGTCACTGATGAACATCAGATGAATGTTGCGCTGACTAGAGCGAAACAAGGACTGTGTATTATTGGTGAGTGGGATTAGAAAAACATCTTCCTTTTAATGAACTTGGGCTACGTAATATGTATGCACAATATGGTATGGCAAGGAGTGCCATACCACATTGTTGGAATGAATATATTATTGGAATGCCATACCATTTTGCTTTGCTGATTAAAACTTACAAGAACGTTAAGCTGATTGTTTTCTTTTTAAAATTGTCTTACTATAGACCGACGAAAAGTAAAGTAAATGCTAGACCTTCCTTTCTCTCATCCTTCCTTCCCTGTACTTGTTCCTTTCGTGAGTCTTTTGAAAGCATCTACGCTTTTCACGCAAAAATGGTTCAATTTCTTACTTAATGCAAGAAAGAGTATCGTGATTGAACTGACCTTGAGGCTCTAGTTAATAGAGATTACCGCAAACATTACTACAAAGAATCATGCGATTATTTATCATTTCAACTTGAAAAGTTGTCTCTCAGGGACAGTTGTCTATCACTCATAGGCCTAAGCATTTCTCTGATACATGTGTTCCAGGTAACAGAAACTTACTGGAGATGTGTGATTTGTGGAGTTCTCTCATTGAGCATTACCAAAGCAAATCGTGCGTAGTGGATGGCATGGATTGGCCTTGAGGGGAACACGAATGTAGAAGAGTACCAAATTTGGGTAATTTTCTTTGCACATCAAGCTTCAGATGGTTGTTGTTAAAGATTATTCTACATCATCAAAATAAATTTCAACTACAAAATTTCATGTAATTAGGTATCTTTAAATTAGCTACCACTCTGACGAAGGGCTAACGCTCGAAACGTCAGCTTTTTAACTCTTTACGGTGGCCAATTTACAATTTCAACTTAGTTGATATTACCAAATTAGCTTTAATTAGTAAAGGCTGATAGTTTCTAAAGAAACTGTTTGGGGCTGCGTCGGTGGGGGTAACGAAATAATTTGGATATATCAACAAAGTTGAAATGGTAAATTGGCCACCGTAACGATTACAAAAGCTGACGTTTCGAGCGTTAGCCCTTCGTCGGAGCGAATAGAGGAATTGTGGGTTGTGTGTGCTTTTAAAGGCAGAAAATGGAGCTACGTTATTGGTGGGAACATGGCAACGAGAAAAACANGGGATTAAAAGACAATTTTAAAAAGTAATCAGAGAGTGCTGAACCCTGCAATAATCATAAGGATGAACATTTGTACTGCACTGATCGCCGTCTATTGTTGTCATTCGACTTGACAGGAATAAGATAAACGAAAGCTAATAAACAACGAACTTGAATTTATTGTAAGGGTCATAGCAATGTGTCATTTTCTCGAGATCAAACGTTCACTTTTAGATCGCAGTCAGTGGGTGACCACTTAAACCACCCTGTAACACTTACAAAAAAAAAAAAAACTATGGAATACCTGCACGAGCTAGAGAGCAAAACTGAAATAATACCTTGTGTTCTGTTAAAAAAAAAAAAAAAAAAGAAAAGGAACTCTATTTAATGAGGGTGATACATGACAGTACTAATTAACTGATGACCCAGTGGCCCTCAAATAAATCAAACAAAGATTTTAAATAAACATAAAGTGCATGAAAATCTCCACTTGTGGGAGGCAGACCAGAGGGCTATTTACAGAGCTGAGCGCAACCGAGGAGTTGAACACGGGGCAACCGAGAACAAATCCAGCGAGTAGAGGGTACATGATTTGAACCCGGGACGTGCCGCCTCCATTTTTTGTTAAAATCGTGTCTGTGTGGAGAAACTGTGACTTTGAATAAATTAAAGTTTATATCCTTCCATGCAGGCAATTAATGTACTAGCGCTCGTTTTTTATGGCATGGTTAGCGAAAGGCTACCCAACCCTCTCGTTATTATGGTTTTTGAGCGGTTATTTCAAGACGTAGAAACGAACAAACTAAGCAGGGATCATTGCGGTCTGTGGGAGGATTGCAAAGTCGATAAAAGGTTCTATGTTTCTAGTCAATCGATATTTATGGCTGGTTATTTCACAAAAGAGATGAAAGCTACTTGTATGTGAATTGTGGGGTAGCTAATCAAAGGTTCATTATTTTCTGTCATTTCTCAATAACTTTCCATTTTACATTGCACCAAATCATTTAAATATTGATAAAACGATGTGGTTAACATTGCAACCAGAATAGAAAAAATTTAGTTTCAGGAAAGTCGGTGAAGGTACGACCAGTTCTCATACGCGTATTTCTGGTATACCAAGAAAATGGGCGCCAACATTGGAGTCTCTGTTTTCTTCTTTCTCACTTTCCCATTTTTTGCAAGGTAACCTATCCTACAAATTTGAAGAAGAGCCCATCAAATGAATCGCTTTTCGCTCAGTATTCAATATAGATAACCGCTAGTCAAAAAGTTCTCCCTTAACATGTTGGTGAAAAATATTCTTCAGTGAACGATTTGTCTTTTATATATATATCTACTCTTTATAGATCAGTTAATCTTGGAGGCGCTTGCCAAAGTATGTGGAACAATGCTGGAAATAGCTTGATCGTTCCAGCAGAATTAGCTGTCAATGCGGTCCCCAACGCAGCTCCGTTGTTTACCGTGGTTCCTGGAGCTGGAGGAGTTGGAAAAGTCAATTCCCTTGTATTTGCCCGATTCCGAGGTTTTTAAAGAACAAGAACCCTTTACTATCTTTTATATCAAAGCTTATTGCCACTGATAGACAAAAATCTACGATACAGTACAATTCAGGGCTGTGACCAGTCTTAGAAATCTACTTCCTGCGCTGAAGTAGATAAATAATGACGAACATTTATTCATTCACCGCGCGCCAACTTAGTCAATGGACAATATCGTTCTGCTCTTTAACCAGATGATCAGTGGTAATCAATGGTAAGTAATATATTTCTAAAATTTCCACAGAAGAAATAAAATTAAAGGATAGACTGTGTCTTCCCTTTCAATAAGGTTACGACCTCCACGCAAAAAAGAAAAAACAGGGCAAGATGTTTTCCGTCCTGTCACGAGCGACAAAGAAAAACTTCTGAGTCCCCATAAGGAATTGACCCTCAGACCTTCGGATTCCGCGCTCCGATGCCCTATCACTGAGCCACAGAGACTCCATGGGGTGAGCCAAGGCCCATTACGAAGTGAAAGAAAACAGCTTGTAGAAAATTTTTAAACTAAAGGCTCAAACAACCGAGGTATTAGATTGAAATTAACAAAAATTTCAGTGGAAGTACGCATGCAAAGTTTAGCCAGGGTGTTGACATCGACCAAAGTAACCAAGATTTCTATGATGTTACGACGAAGATTTACGGCGGAAATAATTTCTTTCATGTTTTTTCTTTTAGCCTTACACTGAGATTACGTACTAGGTTTTTTGTTATAGAAGAGAACCCTAAATCTTAAAAAAAGAAACACCTCTACAAGATCTTGGGTTTTTGAAAGGTTGAAAAAACGTCGTTGTGTCTGGTAGTAAAATTTTAAATGTCTCGTGTTTGTTATGATCCCAAACAGACATATTGGTTGATTACCAGGCAGCGCCGTTTGTTCTCCATCAGCAACATAAAAATGACTTCATAACTGCGGTAACCCAACCAGGCGGACCTATGGAGGCAGCCTTGAATTATTTACTAACTCAACCGGGATCATTGCCTCCAGGAGTGGTAAGTCTGTAACTTGTAGACCTCTTCTTTTATTGAAGGAATATGTTATTCACATGTCCTGAACTTCTGAGTCCTTCAAGAAGATTCAAGATTCAAACTTTAGAACTTCGGATCTTAATGTTTGTCGTTCTTCCAATGAACAACAGAGAACGCTTTTATGAACCAATAAGGTAAGGGATTACGCGGGGTGGGGTGGTTGGAGGAATTTAGGTGGGGATCACATAATTTTCGGGGATACAATGGGGAGATCAGTCGTCACCAACAGAGTTTAAAGAAGAACTTAAGAAAATTGACTGCCAATGAGAGCCGCCAATGAAAGGGAGTTGGGAATCATGAGAAGAGCCTTAGGGAAGAAAGACATAAATTTTTTCGTGAAACAACCAAAATCCTCATAAATAATGAGCTGTCCCTAAATCAGGTAACGAGATGTGAGGGCTTATCAAACATCGATGACTTGACATAATTTTGCAAAAAAACCGTCCCTTGCATTCCAAAGCGTTAGGAACAGTTTGATCAAATCAACTTTCTGGGGCTAGTCCTCTGTTTTCTCCTCCAAATTCATTCCAAGCGTTAGGTACAGTTGATCCAGTCAACTTTTTAGGGCTACTCCTCTGTTTTCTCCTCCAAATTCAAAGATTACATTCCCCATGTTTTCGTGTCACACATCCCCTGTCCAGTTTCCTGCTCGTTCGTCCCATTTATCGTTATGGACTTCACTTTTAGACCACCCCAGAACAATTTTGATGCATTTTGGAAGAATCATGGTTCCGGAACAGCAATGGATTTAAACATGTTTTTGTTGGTTAGTACGGAACATGATATTCTATAAACAAGGCTAAAAGATTAGGGAAAAAATTATTAAAATGTTTAAACCAAACGTTTTCGGCTGTTTGCAATCATTACCCTGATGATGGCAAACAGCCGAAAACGTTTGGTTTAAACATTTTAATAATTTTTTTCCTAATCTTTTAGCCTTGTGATATAGAATATCTTTTATTCAGCGAACATCATGGACATACGGAATATGAATAATAGAAATAAAGGACTGGTCTTTTCACACTTTGATTGCTCGGAAGAACACAATTTAAGTGCTTCAAGTCAATAAATATCTCAATAGTCTTAGGGTTGATTTTTCTACGCGAACGTTCGATTTCGATAAAAGTTTATGCCAAGGTTATACTTCAGTGGCTGACTTAAAAAAAAAAAGAATATTAAAAATATAGCTCCTTATAACTGGAGAACATTATTCATGTTTTCATATTGTTTCTTGAAAACTTTCTACTATGAACGAAAACGTTTAAATATTCATGAAATGATCACATAAAATTTTTTACAAAGATCGTAAGAATTTAACCTCCCAAAAAGTCGGTGGGTCGACCAACACTATCCAAAGATGTACATCTGGTGTTAAAAGAGTTTTCATCAACATGAAAACCGTCGTCTTCATTTTGCTGACCTTACCTTATGTCGCCAGGTAACTGTTTTTCTTTCATGTTGCTTCTGGGCAGGGCCCACAAAATTTGACTAAACCTGGCATTCATCACATCGAATTTTAGTAGTTTACATAAACACATGCATTTCAGTGAATAGTATTGTTCAGGTGATGTCATCGTCCCTTCCACCTGACTTTGTCTTATAGTGCAATGCTAGGTAAACCACATTCTGAACACAGCTAAGTTGAAGAAAAAAAAGATTTGAGATAGTCAGGTGCTTCTATGAAAAAAAAAAAATCGCAATAAAGAGGGTAAGAATTTCAGTTCCAGGAAAGTCAACAAAGCACGGCCAGTTCTCAGAGGCGTGTTGTACCGATAAAATGAGCGCCAATATCTAAGTAAGTATTCGTCTTTTTTATTCACATTCCCCTTTGTCGCGAGGAAACTTATTCTATAGATTTGCGAAAATAGGGAGGTTCATAAACCAAGTTCACTTTAAGTTTAATATACCATAAATTTACTTATTAGAAGTGTTACTCTAAATTTTGGTAAAGACTTTTCTATAAGACACTTCTATAAACGAATTTACATTTACATTACAGTTTAGTAAATCTTGGACCCGCTTGCCAAAATATGTGGAACAATGCTGGAAATAACTTGATCGTTCCTGGTGAATTAACTGTTAACCAGGTCAACAACAGAAACCCATTGTTCACCGTGGTTGGAGGAGGAAATGCAAAAGTCAATTCCCCTGTATTTGCCCGATTCCGAGGTATTTAAAGAATATGGCGCCTCCCTCTGTTTTGCTATAAAGCTACTCGCCATAGATAAAAAAAAAATCTACGATACAATTCAGAGCTTTACTAAGCCTTGAAAGTCTACATTCCAAGCGGAATTAGTATGTGTAATCAAATGGCGACGAGTGAAATTGGGAAATAATTTCACGCGCGTTTTCTCAAAGTTCAGATAATTTCTCGAGCCTTCAGGAGAGGGAAATTATCAGAATTTTGACAAGACGCAAGTGAAATTATTTCCTGATTTTACGAGAAAACCATTTGATTACCTTTTAATATCGTGGGTGACAAATTACGTTCACAACCGTAATTGTTTTTATTGGTTTATTCTATCGAAAACCGAGAACACGAAGAAGAATATAGTGTTCGTTTAAAGCATACATTATTGTTAAAGTTCGTAATTTTCTGAGTTTCTTCACAAAAAAATAACTTTCGAATTCTTCGTGCCTGTTAATAATTTTCGGCCGCTTCTTTTAATTTCGTAACTTCTTCAAGGGGTCACTGTCTTAAATCTCGACGCCATCTTGGCTCTGATCGAGATACAAGTGATGTTACCCTGCAATTTTGTAATTTCAAATGTTAAGGAGTAATTTGTCACCAATGATATTAACCACGGATATCTATTCATCCACTGTCGAAATAGATAATCCATGAATATCGATTTGCTCTTTAACCAGGTCATGGTTAGTAGGTCCCCTCTACTAACTATGACCAGATGATAAGTTAGAAACCTTTTATGAGTAATCGGTTTCAAAAGAGGAAAAACAAATTAATCGACTCTGCTTTTCATTGTTAAAGTTTTCTCTTTCAATACAAGTTACCATGAAAAGGAAGCCAGTTTGTAGACAAGTAAAAGCCAGGCAAAAAAACAAAGAAATTGACGCCGTTAACAAAAAACTTGATTCCTAATTGTTAATTCTTACTAACGGTTCATATTTATTATGATTTCAAACAGACATACTGCTTGATTACCAGGCTGTGCCGTTCGTTCTCAATCAGCAACATATCAATAACTTTATAACTGAAGTAACCCAAACAGGTGGACCTATGATGGCGGCCTTGAATTATCTATTAACTCAACCGAATTCACTGCCTCCAGGCGTGGTAAGTTTCTAACCTAGAGAACTGTTCTTTTAAGAAAGCAATATGTTATCCACATGTCCTGAGCATCTGAGTCCTTCAAGAAGATTCGAACCTCAGACCTGTGGAACTTACAGCATGATGCTCTTCTACTAGGCATCACAGAACTCATTTGTGAGCTAACAAGAAATTAGGTCCTCTATTCTACACGAGATCTCAGATGTTTCTCTTTGTCTCTCACATGAGAGAAAGGGACCACATCCTTCATTGCTCGACGCTTAAGCTCTAAATTTACCATCTTTGTCTACCTTTTCATTGCTCGACGCTTAACCTCTTAAATTTACCATCTTTCTCTTCCTTTTCTCTTGATAGTTAACGTTACCTTGAGTTTGCAAATGACCAATTTGGAATGTATAATAATTTCCAGTAATAGAACAATTGTACAAAGACTTTATTTCGAATGCCTCTTCCACAGCTTAAATTTTCCCCAAGTCACTGAATTTCGAAAGGAAAGTCACGATACTGTTCGAAGAAGAGAAAGAGTCCATAACAAAACCCACGTTGCCCGCGTGTTCAATATCTGCCACGTACACACGTCCTTGCAATGATCTAAATTCATTCTTGCGTGCTATCTCAAACAATTCACTATCAAGAACAGACACCTGATGACTATATATTTCATTGTTGACCCTATAATATAGCGAAGCAACAATCAACCTCTAAACCTAGAGGATGTTCTTATTTCTTATTACCTCTCTTCTTTACAATATATTAAAATTTCGAGTGACTTAGCATAAAGGAAGATGTTATTGGTGTCACGAGCGTTGGGCAAAAAATGAAAAACTGAGGGCCCAGGAAAGATTGAAGAAACTTAATGACACTTACGAAACTTAACTTTCAGATCACCTTAGAACAATTCAGATGCGTCTTGGAGAAATTATGGTTTCGAAATAGCGATGGATTTAAACATGTTTTTGTTGGTAAGTGCGGCAAATAAAAATAAGATAGTCTCAAATGGTTTACCGACACGATATCCGCCAGAGAATGTAATTGAAGGAGATTGGTGGCAATCAATGGATGAACTAAGCTTCTCGACACGCTCGTGTATTCCTGGATGGATACAATAAATGTGGTAAAAAGTTAGGCACATTCATCCACTGACTCACCAAATTCTATGCTCCCGTTTTTGTTTATCAGGTAATAAATTTACTAACGCCAACGCTTACAATGGATTTCACAACTGGTACCAGTTCCTTCTTGAGCAAAGAAGAAACCCAACCCAGACGACGAATATCGCTTTTAATCAGCTTGCTTTCACTGGAAACAGACTGGTCAGTATTTTCATGCGAAGCCTATAGGCTCTGTTACTTTACAAGCAAATCTTGAAATCAGTTTCGAACAAATTGCTTTTGATTAAAGAGTCGTTTTGTGATATAGAAGAGGAAAATATTCCTGCAAAAATGCTTCTGTGCGTATCTCCTAGAGGGCAGATAACAAAGTGTAGAGAGAATGAGGCACTAGCGGGAAATTGTTTCTCGAAATAGTCTAGGCCAACGTGACCTTTAGCTTGAACCTTTCAATCCTTGTTTAAAAGAGACGCCGCGGTGTCTCCCATGAAAGCTAGGGAGTAAGCAATAGCATCCTAGCTTGATCTATCGTTCGTTTCCTTAAAAAATTTACTGAAAGAATGATACAATAACGGGGATCCATCAGTGATTATAAAGGACATACAATTTCAAGTCAGTTGTCCATGATATGTCATGGAAGAGTGAAATTCATAAACGTACAACTGTTTACCTCAGATGGTTGTACTTTACATTAGTGTGATCCTCATTGACGCCATGAATATTTCTGTGGCCTTGATATCCAATGGCGTAAATCTAAAATTATAAAGAGGGGAACACTTACTTTCTCTCTTATCTTTTTATCTACAGCCATACTTTTTGCGTAACCTCTCATTCAGATGGAGAGGGGCGACTAAAGCACCACCAGGCGCCAGCAGCAGCATGTTCGTAGGAACCAGTCCAGCATTTGATTTGGCCATGTTTACTGCTTGTGTCTTAAGAGGACGTGCACCCGGCGGAGGAGTCATCGGAGGAAACGGCAAACGAGTTACAGACTGTGAGTGCAACATTCTCGTGCCGGGAGGGCTACCGCAGAGCCTGGTGCGATTTAGGACTGTCGAGGACCCACAGTATGAGCAGGTCGTCACCGCCTATCCAAGAAGTGTACAATAGATAAAAGATTACCGTATTGTGTTACAGCAGAGGAATCATTTTAAACTTCGAAATTTGTATTTAGACGATAAATGTAAGAGAGATGTCCCACTAACAAACGGTAAACAAGTCAGCATGAAATGACACTCGTCATTGGTATGCATCAGTCAAGATCTGAAGCCATTCACGGCGATATTTATAACCGTTGTGTTTAAGTCATCTAATGGCCGGTATCTGGAGGTTTCTCCCCGTTGCAAGTTCGTTCCCAGCCTCCTTTGCAAGTTTACTCCTTGAAGTAAACCAAGTCCCACTGACTAACCTTTACCCGTTTGCTCCTAAATCGTTTGACTCGTTTCCTTAATTCAAGTAGAAAGGTTTCCTTTTTTCAGTCAAAATCATGACACAAATCTGAATAGACCGAGAGTCATTGCTTTTGCATGTCTTTGAAAGATAATGATTGTTGATAGTAAATGTCAAAATCGATCGATTACTAACTCGCAAAAGTCTTTGGGAGCAAACTTGCAATTGGGAGAAACCTTCCTCAAACTCCTTGTGTAGGTAAAGTGATCTCTTTTAAGCTCAGGGGCCAATTCAACGTTAAATCCTGCATCACGAGTAGTTCCCGCGAAAAATCTGGTCCTCAAAAGCTAGTTTTGAAGTTTTACTTTGGATGTTAAAAAGGCTACCAAAATCTACCAAGAAAGTTAACATTATGTTCTCCGTATATTTTGTTATGAAGGATTTTGAACCAAATTTACGGAAATCGATGTTGACTTCCTACATTTTATTAAAAGAAAGGTAAATCGGCAATTTGGTCTTATTTTCTTTTTGTTTTGAAATCTCTTCGATGTGTGAAATAACATTTGTATTCGTACAGACGGACGTTGAAGGAAAACGGATGGAGTTAAGAGGGAATTTTGAGGTTTCTACATAATATTGCTTAATTCTTGAAAAGCTGTCGTAGCCATACTTTATGTTGAAAAAATTAATGTTTTTGAATTAGGAATTGGCCAGGAGATGAATTCTGTTGCCCTTCGAGTCATATTCTGTCCAAGGTAGTCTTAGCGTTACACCGTTATTTCCTACAGGTCTAGTGGCAAACAGGGTGCTAGTCGTTGGGAAGACCGCCTCGCTGGACCTGGAAAGTGTTTGTGAAAAGCCTAGTCCTCGGAAACAGGATTTGTTTCTCGGAAAAATTCGTAGTCATATTGGTGCAATTGTCGCAGCTCCAAAGACTTGCAGCGACTTTTTGGTAAAGCAAAACACACCAAAGGTTTTTCGCAAAGACCTGTTATACTTGTTTCCTAGCGTAGATCGAGTGACTTTAGGACCGGCATAAAAAACATTTCTCACAAAATAAGGTATAGTGACTGCGGTAGGAAAAAAGGGCATCGCAGTATTTGCGTTCTTGAAGCATTCATTTAGTGTCCATTGACTAGTTTCTTCATTGACTCATTCTACTTTCTTGAAAAGTTTTCATGTCTTACTAAAATGGTCACAGGCACAAGCCAAACTGGTGAAATCATTATCAAGAATGTCGTAAAAAGAAATCACTTTAGACCCGAAGAGAAACCAACAGACAAATACGAAAGCCGCAGTTAAACAGTTTGACGTGAAATGATCGTTATCAAGGTCTTTTTCGGCTGATCCCAGTTGCCCTTTGTCGAAAAACAACGGCATGCGATAACGACATGTGAAACCCAATGACTGTGAGAGTAGTCGATATCTTAATTGCCATAACTAAGGTTGACATTTCAAACTAAAAGGACTAGTCTTTTCACGCTTCGTTTGCCAGAAGAACATAATTTATAGGTGCTTTAAGTAAATGGAAATCTCAGTAGCATTAAAGTTGATTTCCCTCGCACTAAAGTTGATTTTTATAAGTGTTCCTGCAAAGATTATACTTCAGTGGCTGACTCACAAAGAAAAAGGATATTAAAAATATGGCTCCTCATGACTGGATAACATTATTCATGTTTTAGCGTCACTTACTAAAAACCTTCCGCTGTGGACCAAAACGTTTAAAGATTCATGAAATGATCACATAAAAACTGTTACAAAGAGCGTAAGAATTTAACCTCCCAAAATCGGTGAGTCGACCAACACATCCCAGAGATATTTCCATTAACACTGAAATCTTCGATCCACATCATAAGTGATTACATCGTGAGACAAATAATAATACATTATTATTATTGTGCTTTACAACCATGAATATGCACAACCTTCTCTATGAAAATTTTCGTTTTCACTGATTTAGCTGACTTTACTTTATGAAGCCATTCATTTAGCGTCCATTGATTAGTTTCTTCACTGACTCACTTTACTTTCTTGACAAGTCTTCATTTCTTACTAAAATGGTGAGAAGCACAGGCCAAACTAGTCAAATCATTATCAATATATTGTAAAAAGAAAAAAGGAACTCTTTAAACCCGAAGAGAAACCAACAATACAACTACAAAAGCCGCAGGTAAACAGTCACTGTTTACGTGACGCCAAATATCAATATTACAGTTTTTTTTCAGGTTGATCCTAATTGCTTTTACACATCATCTAGGAAGTCTGAAAATAATTTTTGGGTGGAGATATTCATTTCAGTAACCATTTGCCCTTTGTCGATAAACTTCAAAACACCATTGGATCAAAACAACGACATGCGACATGCGACATGCGACATGCGATAAGATAATAATAGCAGGTCCACATCAGCTGTTTAGCTGCCACCACTGACCTGCTCTAACAAATAAAGCTTACTTACTTACTAACATGCGAAACCCAATGACTGTGAGAGTAATCAATATCTTAATGGCTATAACAATGGTTGACGTCCTTGTGATTGGATAACATGATTCATCTGTTCAGTGAGTTCTTGAAAACCTTCCGCTGTGGACCAAAACGCTTAAATATTCATGAAATGATCACATAAAAATTGTTACTAAGAGCGTTGGGATTTAATAACCAAAAAAGTCGGTGGGTCGACGAACTCCCAAAGATGTATATCCGGTGTTCGGAGAGAGTTTTTCTTAACATGAAAATCATCGTCTTCATTTTCCTGACTTTACCTTATGTCGCCAGGTAACTGATTTTCTCTCATGTTGTTTTGGCATTCAACGCCGCAACAAATTTTAGTAGTTTACATAAACACATGCATTTCAGTGAATAATATTGTTGACGGTCATATTATCGTCCTTTCCAACTGATTTTGTCTTTTGTGCAATGCAAAGTAAAACACATTCTGAACACAGTTAAGCTGAAGAAAAAAAAAGGATTCAGATATTCAGGTGCCTCAAAAATTATTGCAACAAAGAGATTAAGAATTTCAGTTCCAGGAATGTCAGTAAAGGCACGGCCAGTTCAGAGGCGCGTTGTACCAATTCTTTTCAGACTTCCTAGATGATATGTAAAAGCAACTAGGATCAGCCTGAAAAAACCCGTAATATTGATCATTTGACGTCACGTAAACAGTGACTGTTTACCTGCAGCTTTTGTATTTGTATTGTTGGTTTCTCTTCGGGTTTAAAGAGTTCTTTTCTTCTTTTTACAATTTATTGATAATGATTTGACTAGTTTGGCCTGTGCTTGTCACCATTTTAGTAAGAAATGAAGACTTTTCAAGAAATTAAAGTGAGTCAGTGAAGAAACTAATCAATGGACGCTAAATGAATGGCTACATAAAGCAAAGTCAGCTAAATGGAAACGAAGATTTTCATAGAGAAGGTTGTGCATATGCATCGTGGTAAAGCGCCAATATCTAAGTATTCGTCTTTATCTTACTCACTTTCCCATACGTAGTAAGGTAACTTATTGTCCAGAAGAGGGAGGTTCATAAAACGTGTTCACTTAAAGTTTAATATACCATAAATTTATTACTTAGAAGTGTTACTCTAAATTTTGGTAAAGACTTTTCTATAAGACACTTCTATAAACGAATTTACATTTACATTACAGTTTAGTAAATCTTGGACCCGCTTGCCAGAATATGTGGAACAATGCTGGAAATAACTTGATCGTTCCTGGTGAATTAACTGTTAACCAGGTCGCCAACGGAAACACATTGTTCTCCGTGGTTGGAGGAGGAGGTGCAAAAGTCAATTCCCCTATATTTGCCCGATTCCGAGGTATTTAAAGAATATGGCGCCTCCCTTTGTTTTGCTATAAAGCTACTCGCCATAGATAGAAAAAAAATATATATGATACAATTCAGAGCTTTACTAAGCCTTGAAAGTCTACATCCCAAGCGGAGTTAACCACGGATATCTATTCATCCAGTGTCGAATTAGTAGGAAAAGGGGGTTTCTGGCACATTTTTCAAATAACCTTAAAAACAAGGCAGTTTTGAAGGACATTTTGAAAAATGATTTTAATTTTTTATCTCATTTAAAAATGAACAACGATGATTTTAAGGCAAAATGATTGGCGCAGTTTTTCCTTCAAAAATGAAAGAAAAATTGAAGAGTTTTGAGATTACAGTGATCCTCAAGACAATCTCAAAATTCGTTTGAACCATCAGAAAAAACTAATTACAATATCTCAGAAATAATCCCCCCCCAAAAAAAAACATAGAGGCTTATGAAGCATTCTCTTCATCGAATTCCTTCAGGAGGTAGCTCAGTTTTAGGTGGAACAATCTGAAGCTCTTCTCTGACAAATCCTCGCTGACAAATCCATTCACAAGTGCTTTTTCGATATTGAAAACTTTTAGAGACCAGATTGGATCTGTTGCTTGTCTTTGTCCACCTTCTAACTCGCCAGGAGCATAGAGATATCTCAGGTTTTTTGAATAGTCAAGTCTCTTTTCTTTCAAGCCAACAGGTCTTGAATACGAAGTTGAACTCCTTGCGTCAACCACCTTTTCTTTGATTGCGTCAATTGGTTTCTTTCCAGTCAATCTAGTCTCCTCACGATTCAATGCTGAAACAGCTTCTGGAAGCCTCTTCGCCCATTCTGTTGATCTCGTTCTGTCGTTGAAGTTAATCTCTTGGCCGTATTGGAAACTAAAAAGGCGCTCACCCAAAGTTCGA